TCAACTAACAAATTGTGATTATTACCACAGTCGATGCAGGAAATAAATAAACAAAATAAAATAAAATAAATCTATAGCCAATATAAAGACTTATTTATGTTTCTTTGATTGTTTCTAAAAAGAAACGCACCCTCACATCTCCATATTCATTCATTCATTCATGCATTCAATTCTATGCTGGTACATATTCATGTCAAAAATAAGACGAAAGTTTGACGTCACGTTAACCCCTTCTTCAGCCATTCATCCTTCATTCATTCATTCATTCATAGGTGGGGGTTATCAAACCCCTCCAAGTCCATGTTTACTTACCCCTGCAATAAATAAAGGCACTAACATTGTCCGGCTTCGTATTAAAACCCAGTGTAGACCTCTCTCATCAATGTTTCAAAACCATTACTACTACTTCTGCAGCCTCTTGCACCCAATCTGGCCTCTTGATGGACGTCGCTCGCAGGATGCATGCACCACGCTTCACATTCAACAAACAAACAACCAAACAAACACACACACACCCACACAAAAGCAAACATGCAAACATCGATGGGTGGGTGGGTGAGTGAGTGAGTGAGTGAATGAGTGTTGTAGTTTTGAGTTGTTTGCAGTGCCTTTCTTTCTTTGCGCATGTGGGATTCGCAATAAAGCGGGCTGAGACGTGTGTATGTATGCCTGAGTCAATTCTTTCCTCCTGCACACAATTCCCCTCACAATGACAAACCAGTCTTCAACCGGCTTCGAAGTGGTGTGCTCGGTACCTGGTAAGCATAGTAAGCATGAATCACATATGCTTTGAATCAAGTGTCTACGATGAAAGGGTGTGCGGTGGTGGTGGTGGTAGAGATGGTGGGAGGCTTGAGAGTTGGCGTGAACAAGTGCATCGTCAATTTGGCACAAGAGATCACATTTTGTGATGTTTCAAATTTGATTGCTGTGAAAAAGGATTCGTTGGGATTTGTGGATTCTGAAAAGCACCTCGTGCAGATGTTTTTTTGGACGCATTTGTGTTCGAATCTGTTCGTTTCTGCATTCCTCCGGCACACTGTGTGTCTCTCCACATCAATTAATTCCATGACTTTTGTTTGGTGAATCTTAGCATCTATGGAGTTGAAAACTTCATGGAACTCCGGGAACAATGCTGTTGGATTCGCCGCATTGGACTTGAAGATGATGAGGGTGAAACCAGCAGCAAAGGTTGAAAATCCCAGTCTTTCAGTTTCTGACGAGTGCCGAGAGTTCACATGTTAGTTTAGTAAGATTTTTTTTTTTTTTTTTTTTTTTTTTATCTATTACGATTATTATTATATATAAAGAAAGCCATGTAAGTTTCTATTTGCTTCCTAATTTTTTTGTTTTAAAGTTTTTAGCAATTTTGACATTTATTAGTATTTTGGTTGATTTTAATTTGGATTTTTTCTACAAACATAGGTATGAAGACATTGTCTACACCTTTTAATGGAATTAAAATTTTGATTATCCTAGATATGGTAAGTAGCTTATAAGGTAGATTCATACACATAAAATGCACATTACTACAAGATTTTGTAGCCAAATATGATAAATAAGATCAAAACATAGTCAAAATATTGTTTTCTAGTAATAGTGTGTTGGAAGTCTTAGTGATTATAATTTAAGTACTTAATGTAGATTTCTTTAATTTTTATTATTTTAGAATATTATTATAATATCTTTTAATATGACCTAAAAATAGATTCTTTGGCCATTAATATCTTTAAAAATATTAAATTATTACATTGTATAAAATTTCAAATCTTCAATTAAATATAGAATTTGTAGAAAATAATATAAAGAATTTTATTTCAGTGTTTTAAGATAAAAAATAAAAAATTATATTTATTGAAACAAAGAAATTTTAAATAAAAATAAAAATAAAAATAAAATAACTTCTACATTTTGTTGATTTTTTTATAAAAAAAAAAAAAAAAAAAAAAATACTAAAATTCTACTTATTTCTTTTCTACTTGTTTCTTTTCTACTTAAATTCTACTTGTTTCTTTTCTCTTCTAAATATTCTACAATTATTTTATACAATCTTTTCAGTTAGTTTTATTTTTAAAATGATTTTAAGGCTAATTTATAGATTATTGAAAAATAAAAAATATTAATTCATTATAAATATTTGAAAAAATTATACAAAAGTCATGGATTCTACCATTTTAGTAGAAAAAATCCTATGAAGTCTACATAGATTTTAATTCTATTTCTAATTCTTTTTTTAAAATATATTTAAGCTATAATTATACTTAAAAGAATTTTTTATATTAAATTTATATTTTACTTAAGGTTTAAGGTAATTTTTTATTAGAATCTATGATACTTAAACATATCCAAACCATTTGTAAAACAAGAAAAAATATTTTGACTAATTTGACTATAAATTTGTAATGATATTTAGTTGTATTTGAACCATAAATCAAAGCTTTTTCCTAAGTTCATATTGTAGCATCTTTCAATTAGATTTAAATTATATAATTACTTATAATAGTATAATTTGTTCTGACATGAATAAGTTAGTACATGAATCCAACCCTGATGCATATTTTGCCTCTTCTAATTGAACTTTTATTTGACATATCCAATGCAACTTTTGCTATTCAATATTAGACTATCTTGGACAAAATACAATCAACATTTGCTAACCAATTAGATAGTTTCTTGTGTTCTTAGAACACAATCAATTCACAATAAGAGGTTTCAAACATGTCACTTTTGCAAAACCAAATAATTGAGTTTCAACACTTTATATTTTCAAAATCACTCAAAATGTCACCATTCAAACTTTATTATCCTTGATATTACTCCCTAATTCAAACTTTATTACTCCCTTGGTTTGGAGTCAAAGAGAGAAGAGAGGTTTGGAGTCAAAGAGAGAAGAGAACTGAGGCAAGTAAAGCAGTTTTTGATATTTGTTCCGCTCCTCTTTTGATATTTTGATTTCAAAATCACCTACCTCACAATGTGGGTGATTTGGTGAAGTACCAAGTGATATTTTGAAATATCATGAATTACTTTGAGCAAATATCACAGGTGAAATATCACCCAAAAAAACCATGTTTGAAACCCCATAATGTAATTCTAATGTTTGGTTGCAAGGATGCAAAAAAATGTCTTTATAGTTAAGACCTTTGACATTGTGACCAAGGCAAGTTAATGCAAACATTCACTGTGAAATGCAAATCACTGCAGTCTCTCCTCACACAAACAAACAGTTCTCACTTCATATAAGTAGACTCCAGCAGAGTAGTTCCAATCGGCATTTAAACCACAAACAACATGCCCATGCCTACACACTAATCAGCTCAAATTACCCAAATAAGTGAGACTCCCATTTGTAGAAACTACATCTCAAAAAGACTATCAGACGACTTACAAAATAGTTGACAGATTTGATACGTTTTCTCAATAAAAAGAGAGGGCTCAACTTGAATGGTCACAGTGTTGATTAATAAACAAAAATACATAAAGCATTAACCAAATGAAGTTATGGAGTTAAATCCACAGCAGCAGAGATGTAGATGCAGTACTTGCAGCAACAATCAAGTGATATCGAACTGACCATGCACGTGAGCATCTGTTAACTTGCTCTCTCCTGATTTTGTTTTCTGTTTTTCTTTCTTTTCATTTTCTTCTTTTGAGCCACATCAGGGATAAGTTAGAATCTGTGTGGTGAGTGTGTGTCTCTGTTGCTCAGTCGATGTCACCACGTGCCCAATGTGAAACTTTGCCTTACTCGGAGCAGAACTTCGTTCAGTACCTTATATATGAAAATTAACCATCTGATTTCACACCAGGATTCCACTGTATGATTCAGAGACTGGATAACTCAAATTAAAAATAAATAAAAAATAAAAATAAAAAGTCGGAGGTTGTGGGAGGGCTTTGATCATGAGAAAAAAAGCAACGCGCTTGCGCTAGGAAAATTTCCATGCAGGCTAGGCAAATTGATCTCTACGGCTGAAACGAAAAAGCAGACTCTGGTGAATATCTCACTAATGGCAATCACGATGGAAAGAATTTGGGGACAGATTAGAAGAGAAAAATTCGACAATGTCGCTCACCAAAGGCAACTTTTGAGAGCTAGTCCAAAACTTTGAAACATCGGTAACGAACCAGGGTCGAGCGGCCAGGCAACTAGCCCCGTCACGCATCGAAAAGGAAGAGGTAGCAGGGAGCGGTGTGCCTTCGGGGCTTTCCCGTCTAGATCGTCTTTACACCTACTGCTTCGAGTCTGCGCTGCCTGCTTTACCAGCTTTTCAATAATCCTAAGGGGTGCCGGATCCATAAAAAATCCTCTCCCCCCCCCCCCCCCCCCCCACACCTGTGACGCAATCATCCTCGCCATGCGGAGCAGTCAGGAATTCAGAGCGGGTAAGTTGAACGGTGAGAATGGCTGTTGATTTGCCTCGGGCGAAAGCGTCAGCGGAGATTCGGTGGAAAGGTGGTGCTCGAAATAGCGGAGAATTCTTGACGCGGACAGAACGAATTACAAAGTGGAAACATTGGCAAACCCTGTCGCTGATATCAGCCGAGCAAAAGTAATCTGCTTGTCAGAGGTTATACATGCACATTCTGTTGTAGGGTGACTGCTACCTTTCGCTTCACTGGATACGAGTGACATGTTGTGTCTGCTCACCGTGGCCTCGCATGCGACCATTTCTCTTGCATGGATGGAAAAGAATACTAGGCATGCGTATTGAACAAAAATGAAAATACTGCAGCAAGCAACTGCTATGCACATCCCTCAGTGACCTTGTCTTTTGCTCAAGCCGACCACCATTGCTTGTCACAAACGTTTCCACGAACAGTCACCGAAGTATCAAATGATTTTGCTCAATAACCATAAGAAGCGTGTTAAGATAAAAACATGCATAGAATATGTAGGCCAGGTTCTACTCGGAAAGAATCAATGCACATCCCAAACACTCCAGTTAATGAAAACATTAGCCGAGGCAACAAGTGCAATTGGACGTGACAAAAGTGTATTGTGAGGAAGGGGAGCGCTTTATTATCCGGCGTTTATGTTTCTCGTATCTATCGTACAACACAAAGGGGAGAGACTAGTAAGGTTGTGCCTTGACTCCCAATCTATAACATTCTTAAGCCTGGGCATGACTGCAAATGTGTACTCAACTCATGGGGATTTTAATTCTACACTACACAATCTAACCTGCTGATGCCTGGCAGACGGGAGGCAGTTTGCCTCAACCAACTCAGCAGGTAACGCTACAAAATTTGGTGGGGGACACGGGTCGACTGTGAATGTTCAAAAAACGGTGACGGGTAGCGACCTCCGGGAGGCTCCCACAGTGAATGTTACCTCATATCCCCCAGTTCTAGGACAATCAATCGCTAAGTTCCGCAAGGTTGAAAGAATTGGGAGGGAATGAATGTATGGGCAAGATTGCAACAGTCCAGGCGCTCAAGTGACAAGAATATCTGCGGCATTCAACCATTCGAGACTTTCGTTCTGATCAGAACCGAAAGCGAGGTCGCCAATGTCGCCCTCCAGAAATTCCAACCCGGCTGCGAAGTCCAGTCCCTCAGTGTTGGTGACATCCCCAGCAGGGAAGTCGAACAAGAAATCGTCGGATAAGAAGACTTCGCCAAGGTCGCAACAGCTCTCCACTTCCTTGTGGCAATTGGTCTCGTTGAGGCTGTCAGAAAGGTCGGACTCTGAGTCGGAAGAGTTTTCTGAGCTGCTCGCAAAGAAACTTTCGGTTACGGCGGCAACTTGCTTCGGAGTCATGTATTCCGGTGTCGAAAAACTGTCGGCCTCGCTTTTCACTGAGGCGTCGACATCGCTAGAAGATGGCTCGCAAGCCGTGAGGCTGGAGCATGGGGATCCTTCGGACTCGTCCAAGCTCAAGGAAGACGGCGAGCACATGAGATAACCACAGTCTTCGTTCAAATTGTCGAAAAGGATGTCTTCGCTCATGATGTCTTCCTCAATGGTGTCGCAGGAGCCGAACATTTCCATGTCCTCATCCTCGCCACGCGACACACACTGCTCTTCTACATCTCCAGCAATAATTCTTTCAACTTGCACAGAGCACATTGGCTTGGACACCGAATTCTTTGTCGAAGCCTGACGTTTGGTCGCTGGCTCCCTCACAACAGCCGATTCTTTCAAAGGTTCCTCCTTCTTAGCGCTTTTCTTCTGCGAGACATTAGACCCAGATGTGGTCGAGGTGTACTGCTCCACCTCGGCATCGGAGCTGAAATTCGTGTGAGCTTGCGGCCCCCGAATCTCCCGAGCAGCCCTGTCATACGCTTGCGCGGCCTGCTCCGCCGTATCATAAGTACCCAACCATAGCCGGACACCCTTAGAGGGATCCCGAATCTCGGCCGCCCACTTACCCCACGGTCTTTGTCTAACTCCTCTGTATTTGTGGGGCTTTCCGTCGGTGATTGCCGAGAATGAGGATGCCTTTGCTTGAGGCTTTGACCCCACTCGGGGTTTACTGGTAGACATTGAGACACTACGGGTCGCTTGCGAGGGCGCGACACTGCTTTTTGGAGTATTCACTGCAGTTACAGGTCGCTCGACAGCAGTAGCTAGCTTGGTCACCTTCTCCGTCGCTTTGGGAGCTTTCTTTTTAGATTGCCACGGTTTGTCATAAAAACTGGACGAGGCCAACATAGACTCGCTGTCAACTGGGCTGGCATAGCTGACGGAGCACTGCATTGCCTTCGCGATGAAGACGCTGTGGTAACTTGGGACCTCAGGTTCGTCAAGTTCGCTGTCTGACGACAGTTCGTCGGCAGCACCAAACTCGTTGGACATATGAATCTCCTGCACAAGTCTCCGTTGCGAATTTCGCAGAGAGCGGAAATTGTCTTCCTCATCGCTTGACGAATCAGTCGCGTCAGGGTCAGTGCAGATCACTCTCACTCTCTTCGGGCACTGTTTCGTCTTGATGTTTCTATTGAAACCTTCATCGTCAGACGAAGACGAAGAGTACTCCCGCTTCAGTGACTGTCCAGGCACCATTTTTAAACTCTTTCGCTTCAATGGAGAGGATGAAGACGCGTAAATGTCACTCCCTGGCATTTTTGTCTACTGTGATTGGATTCCTCTAAAACCCTCCGATTTCTGAATAGCAGGTCAACCTGCAATGTATCGTGCTTACCGCTACTTTCTTTATAAAAAAGAATCCTACTGCCTTGAACCCTCCTGGCTTACTGAGTAAAACTTTTACAGGTCTTAAACCCTCCGGTACAACTAGAGACGCAAAAGACTATAATTCCACCATGCACAGAAAGCTTCATTCTGGACCACCTCACGTCGCTGAAGTACTCAGTACTGATTTTACCTTCACCTACGATGACCAAAAATCTACAATCTTGCAGACACGTTTCCCTTTTCCACCCTCAACAGGTGGCTCCAGACACAAATCTAACAATGCTTTAAAAAATGCTCGGGTGATACGAGGTGTAGTGCCTCGCCGCTGAAAGTTCTTCGTGGTAGCTTAACTTTGCATTGCCAGAAAAAGGAAGAGAGATGACCAAAACTCTGCCGCTTAAAGCTGAGACTGCCACTGATGATACAACAACAACAACAACAACAACGAACCAAGCAGGCAGACAAGCTGAGGGGTAAAGACCGGGCAAGCAGGCAGGCAGGCAGGCAGGGCAGGGGAGTGGGAGCTTGGTAGTGATGATGAGGAAGACGTAGTGAGGGTGTGGCGGCTAGTCTTTCCGTGCTATATATGTAATGAGCACAACCGAGGGAGTGAGGAGAGCAGGAGTGACAATTTATGGAGCCAGCCTCAGGCTTCGCTTACACCCCCCCCCCCCCCCTCATGTTTGTGTCCTTCCTTACAAGTCCAGGTGGCTATAAATATAGCTACCATTTCCACCCAGAAACAGATAACAATAATATCTATCTCAGTCGCAGCCACGCCCTCACTGCGGCAAACGATCAAGTTCGCACCCCCACTTCCTCCCCCAATGTAATTTTCATCGTTGCTTTTTTATTTTTTTCCTATTTTACTACTGATCATGGATTTGAGTTTGATTCGACGTGATTTGGTTTGGGATAGGATACTATTGTTTGTTCCGCCCTACCCCAATCTGTTATTGCAGCATGGAGAAGAGTAGAGGTGGGAATGGGGTTGCAGAATTAGAAGGTTCAAAGGGGTCATATGGTGCCATTTCAGTGGGGTGTATTGTTCACCATGTAACACTGGTTAGAAAATGGGGAAAATAATAATAAAATAGAATTAACTTCTCTGTCTGTGTAATTTGTAATCATGATGAAGATGATGCTTTTTCGAGAAAAGAAAGGGAAAAGAAAAAGAGACATTTTCCTGTTGTTTGTTGGTAATTTCAGACACCTAATTTAGTGCTGTATGTGGAAGTTTGTACTGGAGACATGAAGATTTGAATAGAAATTGGCCAGTCTCAATTACACCTGGCATGGGTATGCAGTGGACTCTTTTTAATGTACTGAAGCATGGCATTTGAAAAGAATGAAAAAAGAAATGGTTCATCATGAGCCTACATGAGGATTTTTAAACTGCATCACATGCAACAAGGTCAAATTGTGTGCACTTTTCCCCCAGATTGGAGACTCTTTGGCCTGATTTTTAGGGTTCCTGAACTGGAGAATCATCCAAGACTTGGTCTTATTCTACATCCCCAATTATTCAAATATGGCTGCTTCACAAATTCAAATTTTTAACCATGAAGGGGGTTTATTATTGGAAGGGAAAAAGGATAGAGTGAGATTCAAATCCAGTGACTGGGGTGTAATTGACTCACATCTAACCTTTGTTTTTTTCTTTTTATTGCCTGTAGACTGTGTAAAAGCCAACCTTCAATGACACCCATCCAGTCCTGGCTCATACTTATTGCTAATCTACTACCCTACTACTATCAATTTTTTTGTTTTCTGACTGGAAGTGCTTATATTTTAATTCATGGAGACAGAGATTGACGCCTTTGTTGGAGTAACTTCTTACACAAGTCAAATCAGCCATATTGTCACATGTGGACACTGGTATCCCAAATCCCATAAACCTCTTAACTAGCACTAATGGAGATGCCCAAACTTTGTAGAAATCCCCATTCAAAAACTCACTTGAACTTCATTGTGTTTCACATTGGGATTTGGCAAGTGGCAACCTGAAAGTAGCCTGCCATTCAAGGTTGAAAGTATAACCCACTTCAATTCTCTCTACCCCAGTTCACAAGAGACTATGTTGACAACATTTTGACCAAGCATCAATATATATATATATATATATATATGTCTCATTTTTTTATTTTTATTTTATTTTGACCTAGGTGGATGTTAATTAAATGAATTTTGCACAGTTGCAAAACACAAGGAAAAATCATCACTCATCAGTATTGTTATGGTTGTATTTCCTTTAGTTTTGCCATCACAAATGAATCTTAAAAAAGAACCAAAAACTGCTGAAGTTGTCTGTGAATTTACAGCATATGTGTGTTGGTTCTTGCCAGGGGAGATCCTAAACAAAGTTTCAAATAAGTTGGCAAGATTCCTGCACTGCAAACGAGTATATCGAATCATTTTTATTTTTATTTTTTAAAAATTAAAAACTACAGGGATTTAAGGGTTTTGTGTAGTGATAATAAGAAGTTGGGATATGATTCTGTGGGTGGGTTATTCCAAAGCATAGTTAGGGGGCTACTATGGTTCAATTGGTATTGAATGCAGTTTTGCTTGTGGTTTTGTTGGCTTCATGGAGAAGAGAGATGCTTTTTAATTCTTACCAGAATTCAGGTAAAACTTGCATGGTCTGTACAGTAGATTATGTAATATGCTCTTCAGTATTGTACCCTGCCACCATCCTAACCCCCCACAATGCCAAGCATTGAAACCAGTGGATGGATTGAAGATAACAAAAGGAGGGGGGAGCTGCTGTCAAGGTTGGAAGATAATATCTCGCACAACAGAGCAGTTGCTGATCTGGCCAATAACTGAAGTAATTTATCATAAGGAAACAAACCAGAAAAATATCCAGAAAATGGGGGAAAAGAGGGAGGGGGAGAAGGAAAAGAAAGAAAAGGCGGCAGCAGTTAATCTGCCGGTCAAGTTTCGCCCCTAGAGTAGCTATAGTGAGTTGTTGGTGTCGAACACAAAAGATTACATTCTGTGGAGGAAGATCCAGGTGCGGAGGATCCAGGAGGTGGAGGGGCCAGTGCTCCTTATTCCGGGCATAAGAGTGCGGCTGTGGGGCGCGACGGAAGGAGAATGAGAGAGAGAGACAGAGTGGGGATTCACATGCTCTGTAATCTCACCGGAACTCTTGGTCGGTCCCTCACAGAGAAAGAGAGAGGGCCTCAAAAGGCGACTAGTGGCTCTTCTGTTGCACATCCATCGCTGCCAGTGGCGCGCTTGGTCTCGGCAAACTGAGGGGCTCCCCACTTGACACCGGCGACCATCGCCATTAATATGGCCTAACCAAACTCACACCTCCTTGGCACCAAGCGGGACTTCGCAAGGGTATATTAAACGCCGCCGTCGTGGGTCGGAACTTCGCCAGCGTGGGGAACTTCGGCCACCGCTGTGTGTGCCACCCAGGAACGGCCTCGAGCACCAAGGATCGGAAGGAGATCCGACGATCGCTGGTTCCGTGGGAGCGGTGACCCCACAAATCTTTGCGGGGAACTGCAACGCTGGCAGAGCGACGCTGGGATCAGCAGGAGACGTGTCAGCAGACGGTGTAGGAATTTATGCGTGAAAGCAGAAATTTGAGCCATTAGAATAATACCTTTTTTATGTTCTCAAAATTATTCTCTCAAGGTGTCGCTCCTTCTCCTCCTCGAAACCCTGTTTTCATGGTTGGCTGTGTGCGCTGTTGGTGGCTTGTTGACGGGTGCTCGACTACTGTAGCTATTCCATGGTCATGGGATAGTTGCAACACTTTTATCTGATCCGAGTTATGTTGCAAGGGCTTCCTACTCTTTTGAGCTTCTACAAACAGATAATGCGGTTATCTACACCGTGAAAAGCTGCATGGCCTTGAAATATGCAGGAAGGTGCAAAGTGATACGAACTGGGTGATTAGCAGAGCCAAGATTCCACCCTCTTTCCTGGCGTTCCAGATTCTCCTGGAGCCTCTTCTCCGGATGGACGCACCCCGCAACTTACAGATGTCTGCAGTGAACCTCCAGTGATTTCCTCTATCGCCATCTTTTGGGAGTAAACTATCGCGTCCTTCGAGAGGTGTCGCCATTCGCATGGGTGCCTCATCTGGTTCTCCCTATCTCTCCTGGCGACATGTGTTGCAGTCTGAATTAGACCATGCGCCGTGACCATCTGCGTCGCGACGAGGGCTAAAAAAGAGATCGGCCCAAAAACGTTTCCAGATTTGCTGGGGGTCGCTGGAGCTAACGGTGGCTTCATTCCTGCAGACGACGCTGCCTACGGCTTCCACCTCCTCGTGTGAATCAACACCGTCGAAGAAATTTGCAGAAACTCGCACCCTTATTTTTTGTGCAATAACTCAAGCAATTCACATGACATCTGTGGACTGATCCATTTCCAAGTTGACAGATCAATCACTGTTATGATCCATTCCTTCAACAAAATTCACATCGAAAAGTGAAAAAAGTCACGCGTTCTGTAGTTACTCTCCGTTATTCTTACAGATTACACCATCCACTCTCTTATCTTCAAACAATTGCCACTTTTGCTGAGCCGAGAGCTCAAACTTGTAAGGCCAAATGCAGATTGGAAAACTCATCCGGATGGAACCACCAATATTGACATTTTTTTCTTATTTTCTCAGATAAATAAATTCTGTGATAAGAACATGACCCTGACAGTGTCCATACTCCACAGGGAGTCAACACAGCCAATATATTCATGTACTGTTCTTGTTGTTTAAATCAACTGGTCAATTCAAAGATATGTAAACATGTGGCTTGCTCAAATTCAAACCTCATCTATTCAATGTCTTCAGATTTTGTGAGTGGGTTCCTCAAAGAAATGAAATCCAAGCTTTGAAGCACATGGAGCACAGATGGGCATCTATGGCTACAGGCCACTTTTTCTCTATGTATATTAGCACATATAAGAAGAAAAGGAAACAAAATCCACATCTGCCATAGAAGCATGGGAATATTAAAGTTCAATGGGCCCAGAAAGACAGGGGCAGCAGCACACCAATTTGCTGTGCCTGCCCATGTCCAGTTAATGAAGAAAGTCCACTGCTGCCTGGACTGCTCCATGCCTTGTTGGCAGTATGGCATTGACAATCACCATGTTCAAAAAAATTCATCTCAGAAGGACCAACCATCATTGGCTGTGAGTGGGGAAAGGAGCATTTTGTCAAAGGGGGGGGGGATATTGAGCATCCCCCTCCCCCTCTTGCCATAGTCCAAAATGCTGGAGATGCTGTTGGCTCATATCATATGGCAGTACCCAAGTATAATGAGTTTATTTTTTTTGTTTCAAAGTTTTATGGCATTTACATGTGTGGATTAACAAGTTGTCTGTGTACCACATACACTGTGAATGCAGCTGGAAGGCAGGCATCAGCTATTGGATTAGTCTTGACAATATCCACCCACCTGCCAATCACCAGGAAGGAAACCACTCTTGGTACCTGGATTGAGGAGCCATGTGTCTACAGAAGGAGTGCAGCACCATGGCCACCCATGTGGACTTCCTTGCAAGTTGATGTATCAATAGCAGCATGCCAAACATGAGAAAGAGTGAGAGAGAGAGGAATCCATGAGAAGTTTTAGCCAGTGCTCAATTTTGAAGCCCATCTGTGACTGGGGAACAGGTTTGGAATGACATGAGGATAAG